AGACTTATGTCCTACAGCTTAAGTATAATAGTAAAGTCTACATCTCTCGCTGGCATTGCTACGATCCTAAATCTGAGGCTCAGGGGAGCTGCAAATGGTTACTGCTGTTTGCAATCGTGAATCTATTATAAAAGAGGGAGAGATCTACAAACGATTACTTCTTTGATCCGTTTTTCTTCGATCGAATCTTCTTCGTCTTAGCTGAATGCGAAGTCATCTCTGCAGGTTTGTCCTCCTTCGTCACCTTCTTGTTGTGCTTCTTAGGCCTTTTCTCTGCTAGGTCAGCAGCCTTGACCACATTATTCTCTTGAGACTTTACTTTATCGCCCACCACTTTCTGCTGCTTTTTGGTCTTGTCGCCTACTTTCTCATTCTCTTCTGATTCAGCAAGGTACTCTTCTAGTTTCCGTTTCTTTAAATTTGAAGTCTTTCCAACTGGTGGCAGTTTGGCCAGTGGGGCCAGAGCATTGTACACTGGTAAGGCAACCGAATCCACAAGCTTCAAATTTATCGACTGTACACCATTCCATCCCTTCGGCACAAGATTAGCACAGCTATTCATCGCCACCATGATATTGTCCACAATTTGCTCAATCGTCATGTCCAGACGCGCCACTTTGACATTTTGGCAGACGCCGGCACTAACGTGAAAAGCCGTTCGTTTAGCAGCGAGACGCAAGCTACTAGTGACATTTTTGCGCGAAACACGAACAGCAATAGGTTGTTTCTTTTTGGTGAAAAATTTCGAGCCAAGCGGACCTTTAAGGTACGGTATTACACGGTCATCAGCCAAAAACATGTCATAGGCACCAGCAAGTGCGCGCTTATCTTCAAACTGAGAAAAATTCTTGCGTAGCTTTTTAACTGACATGACCTTCGTCACACCTTGAACAGGGTCTTTGTCTAATGCTTCTTTAATCCGCTTCTTGTCTTCATCCTTGACAAACAAACAAATGTCGGCTGATTCATCACGTATAGCATGAGGAAGTGTGCTAGAATAAAGAATACAAACAAATAAGTTTCTCATTATCATTCAATATAAATTGCAAGTTAACATTACATTGGTATAGGCTTTAACGACGCCTTCGCAGGTACGACTTTACGCGTCAAAATGCATGAGATCAAGTCACTATCTTCAACCAGTGCCGTCTTTGTTCGCTTCTCATTTCGTTTAGCTGCAAATTGTTGTAACGCAAGTACAGCACGACGCACTTGTGCCTCGTCTAATGGATTCCGTAGCCCCTTGCGAATCGTCACTTCCGTCATACTCTTCAGTATCTGACTTGGCTGGCTAACAGCAGCTTGTCAAATTACAATCTTATAATTGGCTGAAAATAAAAAACAATATTATTGTATGTGTTGCAGTAATGTTACATGAAGACGGTCGGCTGACCACACATACTCAAAGATTTGGCATTTGACAAGATGCTGGTCAAGGTAATCAAGAATGGGAAAAGTACGAAAGACTATGGCTCGATTGACGTGCCAGGCTCGACTCCAACTGTAAGTCAATTGAAAATTGCATTTGAAAAACATTCGGGAATCTCTCGCTTTCGACAGAGTTTTAAACTACTTCAAAGTGATCAATCCCTTGTGCCACTGACGGATGACACGAAAGTGCTTGTGGACTACGGTATTAAGAACGACTCAACGCTCGTTTTTCGTGACTTGGGTCCGCAAATTGGATACCGTACTGTATTCATAGCTGAGTATTTGGGTCCTCTGCTCTTTGTCTTGGGCTATGCAATTCGCCCGAAATTCATCTATGGAGAAGAAGCTGGTTCGAAACCACTAAGCACCACGGCGCTGTTGGGTGTCGTTGCCTGGTCGCTACATTTCGTCAAACGTGAGCTCGAAACTTTTTTCGTACATCGATTCAGTCGACCGACAATGCCGCTGCGTAACCTGTTTAAGAACTGCAGTTACTATTGGTCATTTGGAGCTGTTGTTGGCTACCCACTGTGTCATCCACTGTATACTAGTCCGAGCTCGATAACACAGATAACAATTGGTGTAATGCTTATGGTCATATCCGAGATACTAAATTTCTGTGTCCACGTGCAGCTACGAAACATGCGTCCCGCTGAAGGCTCGAAGGAACGTCCAATTCCAAAGGGATTCCTCTTTGCACTCGTTTCGTGCCCCAATTATACTTTTGAAGTGCTTGGATGGGTTGGTTTCTCTCTCTTTACGCAAGTAGCTGCCAGTTATGTGTTTACACTTGTTGGTTTCGTGCAAATGGCGGACTGGGCGTTGAAAAAACACCGTGGATATCTTAAAGCGTACGGTGATGAATACAAAAAGCTGCGTCGCAAAGCCATTATCCCTTTTCTTTTGTAAGTCCAAAGTTTTAACAATAGCTTTTGCAAGGGAATAAATGGAAATACAAAGCGCGTGACGTTGTTTTTCTTGCTTTGCTACTATTCAAGACGTTTTGTACCATAATAGGCTTATGAAAATGATTAGACATCTTCATCACGTGACACTAAAGCAATCGATATATCATGACAAGTGGATGATGTATCACCGATGCTGATATGAGTAACATATCTATGTAGCAATTAGCAACACAATGTCGCTCTTACATCAAAGGATCTTTTTCAAAGCTTATTTCACGACTCTTCAGAAAGATTCCAAAAAATCTTTCAGTAGCATCTATCACATCCATTTCGTCATAAAAGATTTTGCTCAAGTAACTTCAATTGATTATCTTTGTATCGTTGTGCATTCCATGACGTATCTTAAGCTCAAATCAATGTTTCTATCATGGTGGATAACTCTCCTTTTGGTTTCAACAACCAGTAGCCAACAAGTTGGTACTAACTGCACGGATCCTCGCATTCGTCGATCGTGGGATACGTACAATGCAACCGAAAAAGCTTTGTATCTCGAAGCTGTCGGTAGCGCCATGGACAAGGGATTTCATCAAAAGTTCATTCAAGTTCATACTGAATTTCTTTCTGAGAAAGAGGCCCATGGAAACTGCATGTTTATCTACTGGCATCGCATGTTGTTGTTGGGATACGAAAACATGCTTCGCAGTTTAAATTCGAAATATCGATGTCTTACACTTCCGTACTGGGATCATGTATCAGCTAGGGCACGTCGAGCTACTGGAAGTTGTACCAATCTCCTCACTTGTACTCCTTTCCTCTCTGATTCTAGCGGTGACATGTCTGGTACTAGCAAGAGTTTGATCATCTATGATTCGGTCATACCCCTCAGTTCATCTACTTGCATGAATCGCTTTCCACTCTCGCAATTCTGCGGAAACAATACTGTTTGTGCGAAATGTATCACTCGAAAAACAAGAAATGCCATGACAAATACCGCGTATCCTGATTCAGCTTCGTTTGCTTCAGTATACCAGCAACTCTTTTCTTCAAACGATTCATCTGTATTTACCTCCCAAGTCGAACGTGGAGTACACAGTACGTAGTATATCATTCAACAATCTCTTCAATTTCTAACGATAGATGTGATGTGTATCAGATACAATTCACAGCGCTCTTGGTGGTGTCATGGCGTATTTTGAGTCACCAGCTGATCCAATCTTCTACCTTCACCATGCACTTATTGACTTGTTACAAATCATCTACTTTAAGTGTCAAGTAGGAGGTGAGAATGTCATTCTTCCAATTGAAGCCAAGGGAAACGACACGCGTTGGTTTCGAAGATGCGCCAAAAGATCTTCAGGAACTTACACAACAACAACAAACATCACAATTCGAGGACTGGCATTTGATGGAAAGACGGTCGTGAATGTATGGGAAGATCCTCAAAATATTCTTTACCCATTTTTTAAAGACTTGCCGTCCAGGTACGTTGATTACGTTGATGCCAAAGATCTTGGAAATTATAGCTACACGTACGCAATGAGTGGTGGACTCGCTACATTCTATCAAAAGTGTTGGACATCAAATCAAGTCTCTGCAGTTACGACGTTGTTAGCCGATGAACGTCAGAATAGAGGACGTGGAAAAATGAAACAACTTGAACCAGTCCTCGAGCCAGGAAGTGCGTACGATGAAAAGGTCAAGCGTTTGAACATTGCTTTGTATGAAACAGCACGAATTGTTGGTTACGAAGAAACTGCAGCCAATGAACAAATGGAAATGGTCATGTGTCAATACCAACAAGATTGTCTTGGAGGCGTTCTTGACTATTCGGACATCTTTCGAGCGAACTTTGGTGTTGAAGGACATCCTCGTTGTTACACGATTCTGCAATATTTGAACTCCGGCGATAAAGTCATTGGAATTCCACAATGGAAGTTTATTACTAGTCGCTTTTTACCCTGTGCTGCTTATCAGAAGAAGGAAAATCCGTTGTCGAATTTTGGGAAGGCAGTGGGTAAAATGATGCAGGATCTTGGTCGTGGAGAAGGACAGGATCAGATAGCTTTGCATTAGCTGCTGAACATAGGCGGTAGAGCTGCCAGAGTTTAAAAATGTCACTGTCTATTCGTATGATAAACAATTAGGTGCTCATATTTTTCTGTTAGAATGACCTTTAGAGTGTTCATCTGCGTATATAGTTTCTTAAGCAACATGAATAAACATTGGTGATGAGTAGGAAGCATGAAAAAGTAGGTGGCGAGCTGATTGTATCATTTATTAGATCCTTTAAAGCAACACAACATACGAAAACATTTCTGGGAAGAATTTAAACGTCGTTCAATTATAATGCCAAGTTATTATAATGCAAAGAGCGATATCTTAATGCTCTTTACGTAAATTGAGCCATAGCCCAATGAATCCAACAGTACGAAACCCAATATTGATAGCCAGTAGAATCACACCATCCTCAAAAGCTGTCCGTGATTGCAAACTAAAGTTCTTTAACACATCAGTTCCAGAACGTGCAGTGCAATTTTCAACAGCGTCGTCACATGCGATAAATGGCACCTGTTTCCAGAATATTTTCATGATCGCTTCAAAGCCATACTTGATTGGGGAGATATATTGAATCCAAATAAAGTACTTTGGACAATCATCACTGTTGATCAAAAGTCCTCCAAACAACAGAAAGGGAAGGATAATGATCATTCCAATAATTGGAGCGATGTCAATTCGACGAACCAAGCAGGAAACCATATATCCCAGACCAACAGCGCAGCTATTAACGAGAATGATAATAATCTGTTGATAGATGTAAACATCAAATCCATGACCAATACCAATCAAAAAGTACGCTGGGACGAAAAATACAATTGGTAAAAGAATTTGCATTGGAATTTCGCTCATATTTTTCGACAGATACCAGGAAAAGAGACGATAAAGCCCGGCTCTATATTCACGAATAATGATTGGAAGTTCCATCGGCACTGAGATGAAAACTGGATTTGCAGAAGCAAAAGTTTGATTGACAATCAAGAAAAAGAAGCCACCAGTGAAATTTTGAATCCCCTTTTGGTCCAAATCAAGCCGGAGATAGATAAGACCAACGATGAGAGAGATAAAAAGCGTTTGAAAGATGGCCGCTCGAAAGCCAAGTCGATCACGTACAAAGCGGACTACATTTCGATGTGACAGTACACCAATTTGACCCAGAAAGTTTAACCGCGAGTCTTGATACTCTTCGATCTTTACACTATCATTCGATACTTGAATCGAAGGCTGTGTTTGGCGTATTGCCCATTCTTTCTTCATCTTTTCCACGCGTGCGACACCATTTGCATCTGTAGCCTTGTCCATAACAACAAGCTGTTTCATAAAATAATCGGTGGGATTCATTAACGATGGACATGGAAATCCAAGAGAAGCAAAATAGTTCACTGACTCGGACGCTTTGCCTTGATACACTGTCGATCCATCCGACAATAAGTATAATTGATCAAAGAGTGCGAATAGCTCCGATGATGGTTGATGAATCGTAGCTATCACTGTACGACCATCGCGAGCAATCTGTTGTAATTGTGCCGTTACTGTTTCAGCCATGAAGCTATCCAGACCCGACGTTGGTTCATCCACAAACAAAATCGATGGATTTGTCAATATTTCCGTCGCAAATGACAAACGTTTTCTTTCTCCCCCTGAAATACCACGCAATGTCACTCCACCAATAAGTGTATCACGACACTTCATAAGTCCAAGTTGCTCCATGACCTCATCCACACGCTTTAAATATTGAGATTCCGTAAATGTTTTACCCATGCGTAGTTTCGCTTGAAATACCAAATGTTCCTTCACTGTAATAGTCTGATAGAATAAATCATCTTGCATGACGTAAGAAGCAAGTCTCTTTTTCGCATCATCCCACGGCTGTCCATTTACATAAATCGCTCCTTCAACAGCCTTATTACGTCCAGAAATACAGTCAAGTAACGAGCTTTTACCTGCACCAGAAGGACCCATTATAACAAGGAGCTCACCAGGTACAGCTGTACCACTAACGTTCGATAAAATAATCTTTTCTTCAGCCTGTTTCGTGTGAGGATTCATTATCGTAGTCTTCAGATTGAGATTGAGCCATTGAAGCGTGAACTTAGGAGATTCTGAAAAATCTAACGTTTTGTTATGTTCAGGCTTAGGTGTCTCAATCGATACAAAGTGATCGTGACTCGCAGTGTCGGGAGTTGATGTTGTTATCATGACTGACGAAGATCAGTGAGTATCTGTGGCAGACAGCAAGTTGCGTTCTGATCAAAAGCTCGAGTTGTTAAGATCGTTGTACAATGCCTTACCCCAAGGTCTTACCGAATAGCAGAAATAGATTGAAAATTAGTAGAGCACAAATCAGGTATATCTAAATAGGTTTGTTTTATATAGAACAATTCTGATTTCATATTGCTAAGGTTTTTTAAATTCAAAATAACAAAACAATTGAGAAATATATTGCTTATGTGATGAGAGTTTGAAAAGTGAATTAGCACATCATTATTACAGTCCGAGCTTGTTCGACCATATAACTAACTCAAAATGCGATTTAAATACTGATACTAACAGTGTCCAGTGGCTCAGTGTCTTCAGTCGCTGTCTGTCAGCCAGTAGCAATTCAAATTAATGTTTGATCGTACTTCGTCAATGTCAGGCCTGGAATTTTAGTATTTGTATGTAATCAAGACACTTCCATTCGATTCCAAAGCGATCCACGACTGACAAATGTTGGTACATCAACGGATCAATCGATTCGCACTGGAAGTGATATGAGCAGATTTGATTTAGCTCGAAGAAAAGATTTGGGAGCATCAAGATGACATCAATAGATAAAACAAGACGATTCAATGAGATCAACTGTAAAGCGTCAGATCGAGGTTATGATTATTCAGTTTTACTGTTTGACTTCGCTGCCAGCAAAGTAAAGCTACATCTCGCGAAAAAGGGCGAAGCGTGGCTGGAGTCTAGCACAGAAGACGTCAAGAAACTTAAGAAAAGGCAAAATGGCGAAGCTGATTGAAGCTTTGGAAAACAATCAACTTGATGGAGTGAATGAAATTCTTGTGGGTATGCCAGATCCAAAAACAAAGTATTGATGGTTTTGACCTAAAAGGCAGTGGTGCCTACGTTTTTTGAAAGGAGCCAAAGCCTTTGGTCCCAACGATCGATGTGGATTGAGTTTTTCAGGATTTATTGAGTTTTGGCTACCTAGCAAACGTCATTGATCATCATTACCATGCTTGGAGAGATGGAAAGACGGACATGCGACTATCTTTGTGTTTAGGTGATCTCGATGTGGAAAGTCGATAAATTGCAGCAGCAAATCTTCCTTAATGAGAGACAAGGAGATCCGATGATGCAGAAGCTCATTTAAAATGCCTACACGTGCCGGGAGATTTCGCCATTGCAAGTCAAGCCATTGGGACTCAAATGCTATACAAAGTGCAAGATTCGTGTGGCTGGAGTAATTTGTGCGAATCATGTTTTTTCGACCAAAGTTTTGACGAAGTCACTGGAATTAATTCAAACAAAATGTGCGTGACCCTTTGCGTCGACAGTATGCAAAAGCATCAGCATGATTTCGGAATTACGACATCTAAGTTCTATTTGGCGCTTGCGCCGCTGTGTGACCTGACGTTATTGAAGTGCCCGAAACTCATTGGACGAGACGTAATCAATTTATTCAGCAATGGCAGTTGAGCCTTGACGCAGCTTTTCACTGATGACATGGGTATGTCCGAGTATTGAAAGGACTGTACATGGAGATGTTTCGATACCAGAGACAACCTTTTGAATCAATTCCGGTGATGCAAGATGTACTGGTCGCAATCCGAGAAACATGTTCTGGGATTATTTTTCAGATACACAATACGAAAAAAATATTTCCCGCGGTGATTTTTCGTCGGAGGGTTTATGCTGATTCGTGTTTCGGAGTTGTTTCGATTGAATGGAGACTAACTTCATTGTCCGTTCATTTTCTATATGCGGCTAAACACTGATGATATGCCGTGAAGCAAGCATGTTGCGTTCGCGCCAACACAAGAATTGAAAAATTTGAAGCTTTGGCAACTTTGGGAGCAGTTTAATTGCAAGTACCGAGCGTTAAAATCGCAAGATCTTGCCCGAAACGAAACTGTGATATGGACAAAGATTCATCGTGGGTGCAATCAATGTGTTATTGAGCGTCAATTGACGTATGTGCTTGCTGAAAAGCGGATGCGAAAGGTTTTAGCTAGTTGCTCTCGTGATAATGATCGTAGGAAGTGCTTTCTGTATCAGCCTGCAGCTGGGACATCATTTGGTTTCGCATTTCTGTCCGGAAGATGCGACGAAGGGCTTTTTTCAAGAGGTTCGTTACTCTCAATGCGTTAAAGAAAACATATTACTGGAAATTTTGCGCAAGAGCTGTCACAGGTTGCAGGTCCTGACGACCTATTCATCATGTATACTACGAGTGGAATGATAGCCGACCTTGTTATGCTGCCAAATTCCTTATTTACATGCTGGAACGCGTATTATGGTGTCCAAAACCCGTACCCAAACAGCTGAGCTTAGAAGATGCTCTTGTGAAGACAAAGATTCCAGCTAAAAATCTTAAGCGATTTAGTTTTAAAAGGCTTTGCGTTAGCCATTTCGCAATGTGAGTAATACATTTTTGCTGTTAGGGAACACTATTCATTTGACGTTCTAAGCTTCAATCGATCGCAAAAGTCTAGTCTGGTTCAAGACTACCGAATATTTTAAAGTAAACACAAGTATTGCGAAAAAAATCTCAAGTTTTAACAATACCATGATTAGTGCTGGATCAATGGCTTGTATAATATCAGACTATCCATTGCAACCAGTGTGTTTTCTACAATTGTTTGTTATAGGCACCTGTCTCTCTGTATGTAAAGTTTATTACTTTCGATTATCAAACACATTCTATGGTTCAGACATCTACCTGTTACTTAAATGGAGATGTCGTCTCTGTTCAAATTCATTATGGAGTATTGAAATCTTTCGCTGAGATAGCTTGTGTTCATTGGACAAACGTTCAAATTGAGCTCCTAACAATTTGACTGAATACACGTCTCACATCCTAGTAATTAGGTGCAACAAGACTCATGGAGGTATTCTTGACTTGTTCGATGGAGATATATCGATTAATAAATTCATTTCGAATTATCTTCTATAGAAGAATAGCCAAAAGCCACCCACGCTCAGTAAGACCCAATCCGTATCAAGGTTGTAAGTTTTACATAATATTCTTTTCATCTCAACGTTTTAAGTACTATTGATGTAGTGTATCAATACGAAGTACTACGTCCTAAATATAAACTAGATTTGTGTAGTAGTTACGACAACATATCCAAAATTTCCTCCTCTTCCGAGTCCATTGCTTCCTCAACTCGCGCAGACTGATTCGCCTCTTCACCTGCTTGTATCTTCTTCGTTGGCTTTGCCTTCTCCTGGTTGGATACTGTCGTCACTGGTTCAAACTTCATCATGTTTGTATCTCCTCGCTGTGTTTCTTCATCCACCTTCTCTTCATGTTTGATAAGGTCGTCCATACTTGAAAGAAGATCGTCTGCTGAGCTTATGTGCATTGATTCCGACTTTAAATGGCTCGGCAATTGACTATATGCACTGACTGCGTCTCTTTTCATGCGCATTCTATTATCTCCTTCATCATCAAGATCCGTATGTTCATCACTTTTCTCGTCACTTTCAGTCTCTTCTTTTTTTCGCTTCAACTTAGCTCCCGATGCTTTTCTCCTGTTCTTGATCACTGGTTTTTTCTTTGACACAGTCGCAACGTCATATCTTTGCGCTTGTTCCACCTCGTGTTGTAATCTTCTAATTTCGTCTTTCTTAGCATTTAAAACAGCGCAAAAGCCCTGGATTAGACGGTCCTCTGTGCTCTGTTTGGCTATCAATGCTGTTTCTACTAATGCTTCTTTGTCACCAAGTAATTTTTCCAAATCGATAATTCTGTTGCTCTTGTCGTTAATAACTTTTGTATTCTTTTCTTGTTGTACAGCGACTTGATGCAATAACGCACACCATTTGTCCGAACCATCTCGAACTTGGAATTGAATCGTACAGAATTTCATGGCAAACTCTGCGCGCTCCATAAGTGTCAATGCAGAATGTTTTCTCGACCACTTAAGTTCAAAGCGCGACGTGTCGTGAGTCATGAAACAAAGTGCCGCTTCAATTATCTCGACATATTCGACACCAGAGCAATCGAGTGCTCTTGGCTTTTCACAGGACGAGACTGTAGCTTCATATAAAGTTGGAGGATCAATTAGGTTGATACAAATGGAAGTATTTGAAGCTGAGGAAGCTGCAATGCGATTGCATAGAGCGAAGAGAGAGAGCGATGATCGAGACGAAGCGTCAGCATCCACGACAATAATTTCAGCTAGTGACATTATTTTAATAATGTAACACTAATACAGAATGGTGTTGAATAGTGTAAAATTCGTTTCTGTACTATCAAATTCGGCTTAATCTTCCAATGATGTTTATACTATTCTATATTCAAGATCAAATACTACATTTTGGATAGCTTTACAAGTTGATTTATTGAGAATCAGGTTGACCAAAAGACGGTGCAAGCTCGTCATGTCATCAATAATAATATCATATGGGTGTTAATTCTGTCGTCCTCTCGTCTGTTCAGTAATCATTACATATGGTATCACATTGTTCACCCAACCTATCTTCTTTAATACCCTTTTATTTTGCGTCTTTTAACTTTATTAAAAGTACATAAAATGCTGCATAATTAGATATCCCTTTTAAACTCGCTCTTCATCCACATATGAAGAGTATCAGCTGACGTTCGACTCTTCCGCCACGTCACTAGAGCGTCACTCACTCATTCTTGATTCCAAGTAGACGCATTCTCACTAAACAATGGATAAATCCAAGCTCCAGAATTTCAATCAAATTCCATTCGAATTCCCTCAACGTCGCTTTCCCGATTTACGTTCACTCAATGGATCTCATCTTTCCGTTCACGTGACTCCCTCCTCACGACTCTCTCGTTATCTCGACTTTTTGAATCAATACAAACGCAGATTTCATCACTATGTCCGTGGAATTACACTTGAATCATATCCTTGGATAGGGTGGTTCTACACATATGCCTTTGTACAACTGTTCTTTTTCGTCAGTCGTTACCTCGCACTTAAGGCTCTCGTTAACATGTACGGAACATCTGACGACTATCGTTTTCCGATCAAATTCTTAGCTTTGAGTCTTGGGTTTCTCGAAGATTTTGTCTGTACAACATACTTTGTTTGTGCTCTGTGGATATTTGATACATTAAAACACGAGACATTAAAGAAGCAAAACATGGAATCAAAGGGTTTGCCATTGATATTTCAAGTCGCAACGTTTGTCATCTCGTGGTTCCTTTTCTTTCTTCTCACGGCACCTTTTATTACTGATGTCGTGCTCGTGTTGTACCGTGATATGCGCTTCTCACTTGGTCTATTTGTCACAATATGGCACGAAAGGCACTTTTTAAAGAATGTCCCTATTTCAAATGAAGAACTTTTGGTCGCGTATCAAACGTCATCAATTGTTTTTCTTATAACAACACTCTTTGCATTTGGACGTGTAAGACTAACGTGGTTGGATCTTACGCTTTGGAATCCATTGAATCTTGTCACGAAATTTACTAAGATACAATCGGGTTTACAATACCATGCAGTACCTCTTGAAGAAGGCACAGAAGACGAGAAAAAAGTTAATCAATTGACAAAACGATCATTTAAAGGTTTTGCAGCTCGTCATCGAATTGTTGCGATGCTATTGGGACTTGTAATTATACCAGCCTTTGTGATGGTCTTACGATGTATTTGTACTCCTCTGGTAGCATACGCAGCCTTAAATGTGACACTCAATGAATTCCTTTTACATCAATTTGAACCAACTCAAGCTAATATCAAATTCCAGACCTTACAAAATGGTGATCCATGGGTTGAAAACTTCATTGACGTTGCGGAAGAACATCAAAGATTTGGTAACAATACTTTATTTCGACGTACTACTGGATTTCATGGAGATCTTGCGTTTAATGTTAGTATTGATAGCAAAGATCCACCAAATGTTGTAATCATTGCTATTGAATCCTTTCGATTTCGAGATTCAAGGTACCTTGTGGGACAAGATGATCCGTCGAATTTGTTCAAAGGTACTAATTTGACTATAACACCCAATTTTGATAAATGGGCCAAACGTGGTGTTGCAATGCGTAATATTTGGTCCAGTATCCCCACAAGTAGGTCACTTGAGAGTTTACTCTTTGCTCAAGTACCGTACCCAAGTATGTCTGAATCCGGGATAACTGGAGGTAAAGTAGATGTGAAATTATCCGGATTACCGCAATTGTTTTCACAAAAAGGGTACGAAACGTATTTCACGACTGGGTCTTCCATCACACTTGACGCCTGGGATATTTTTCTTCCTACGCATGGATTTGAACAAGTATGGGATCGCGAAGCTATGATGGATTTGGCAGAATCAAATCTTAATATAAGTCGCGAAGACTGGGAAGGTGCTGCACGTCGAGGGTTTAGCTGGGGGGTACACGACGATATTACGTTTCAGTTACTTGGGGACCTTTTAGTAAAAAAAAGGAACAAACAACAGGCGAGAATGGCACAAGGTAGGCCGAAAGTCCCAACTTTTGTAACCCATTACACCATCTCGAGCCATGAACCATTTGATCATTGGCCAAAATGGTACGACGAGATGCCAAAACCAACGTTTTATACCATGTTTCAAGATGAAAAGAAAGCGAAACAGATTGAAAGGTACATGAAAGTGCGATATTTTACTGACATGGAGCTTGGGAAGTTTATGGATCGAATGGACCGAGAAGGAATTTTAAATGATACAATTATTGTGATTTTGGGAGATCATGGTCAAGCACCTGAAATTGCTAATGCGAATCAACACGAGGAATCAGTGACGCGTGTACCAGCTGCGATCATTGCAGAAGGACGTTTAGGAGATGCTGTGGGGCTTGTTATTGACGATGCAGCAGAACAATATGATTTTTTAAATACTTTGGCGGATATTACGGGATTACCTGAAGGAGGATTCGAACAAAATGGTGTAGGTCGTTCATTAAAGCGCAAACTTCCATTTGGTCAGCGTATCGTTTTTACGAATGATCCAATTCGAAAAATGGCTATTGTACGTGGAAAGCAACGTCTTCGGTACGATGCTGTAACTGATGCTATGATGTTACATGATACGGACCGCGATTTTTTTATGAAAACGGATCTTTTACCTCGTCTTTCACCAGAGGAACGTGCTGAATGGAATGATTTGCGAGAAGATGGTCGTCGTATTTCGGAGTATTACAAGAAACGATGGGACGGAAAATGTCTACTTACAGTCAAGTGTGACGTGTAGGAAGAATAGAGTGCGATAGAGAATTCGAAATGTGCAGTAAATGCATGCATAGACTCATTTTACATACAAACATTTTCATACAAGGAATTGTCTTTACTTACTTACGGATTATCTTGAGTATAACTGTCATTTAAGTAATGTTTATACTATACATCTTTGGTCTGGTCATGTCACTATGTTTAAATAATAGATGAAAAAAGTTTGTAACACTAATCTTCTTGCTCATTACCACATGAAAACATCTTACTTCGATATATTACAGGTTAAAAACGTAAGATTGTATAAGTGGTTTAATATTGTACTGAAAATATACTAAATATTATGTAGCACTCTGTTATATATATAATGAAGAAGTACTACTAAAAGAAAGAAGTATTATGTAAAAGCTTTGCACAAGTAGAATATTATTACATTTGTAAACATGCGATATATTCTCTCCAACCAGAATGCTCCCCTTGAGTCTCTCGCCTGTCGTTATATTGTCTCTTACCTGACAGCTCACTTGTGATTGTTGTCTCATCGTATCACAACGTGTTTTCCTCGACGGCTTGCAATCTCTTCAGTATCCAAAACGTCAATTAATGACTCGATTTTCGCCAGCAATTTTATTAGCATCGTCGTCGCTTTTGATCGATCCAGTCTTGAGCCACGAGGCTTATGCTACTAAAGTTCCTAATGGCGCGAACGTTGATGGAGTAAAAGCCATTGGCCACACAAATCCTGACGGTGGAGGCATTCGAAACGCATTTGGCAGAGATTTTTATAGTGCCGGTCACACGTGGACATCGGAGCTCTGTATGAATGACTCGGATGACGATGGACAAACGAATGGCGAAGAACTGGGTGATCCATGCTGTGACTGGACGTCAGAGTCCGCGAAAGATCCGCTTTGGTCCAGTGGCGTTTCAAATCCTGGAGATGATGCGAGTATTTCGAACAAGACGTTGTGGCCGACGTATAAGTGTTCTCCTCCTGCGACTAACTCCAGTGGCTCCCAGACTGGCATCCAAAGCACGGAAAGTTCATCTGACTCTGATTCCACTGCATCAACATCAAAAGCAGCTTGGAATGGTCTTGCTCTGACAACTACAGCTGGTTTGCTGACGCTAACGGCGGCAATCGTTTTATAGGGCACCAAGCTACCCTTCTGTTGATAGGAATGGAATTGCCTTTTCGCCACAATAGCAGTTAATATTTTTCTTCTTTTAGTATAATATATACTGACGATTGTAGGATAATAAACTGCATTTCTTTATATTTCTAGTACGGAACAATTCATATGCATGGATCATTATTGTGTTTTTATTCGCAAACTGACTGTTGTCAAATCATGTCATACGATACAGAGTTTAAAATGGACTTTTTGCCGTCTTTATCACGAGAGATTCGCGCCGATTAAGTAAGATGGTCGAACGATTGCGTTCGTCGCAAGATTTATGTTCTATTCTAAATTCAAGTATTTATGCAGAGCATAAATATCAGTGTCAGCGCAGTGGACGCAGAGTAAATATATATCTTTTCCGCTTGACTAGATATCGTGCTTTGGAATAAATAATACACAAGAATGTACTATTCATAGAGCAGCGATAACTTAAAGCAAATATTGTTACATGATCAATCCTAAAAAAAAGAGTATTTATGTTCTCGATCAGACGACGAGGAAGAACTGCCAACTGGCCAAACTTAACTTTCTCGACTGTCGCTATGTCCCTTGCCTAACACCTCACTTGCGTTTCGCGACTCATCGTGTTACCCCGTACTTTCTTTAGGCCTTGCATCTTCTTTCAACATCTACAACGTTATAAAAAATATGACTCGATTCTCGCCAACTGGTTTTCTAGTCTCTTCATCGCTTTTTATCACTCCAGTGTTAAGCTACGAGGCATATGTTATTAAAGTTCCTAACGGCGCAAATGTCGATGGTGTGAAAGCGATTGGCCACACAAATTCTGTTGGAGGTGGCGCTCGAAATGCGTTTGGCACAGACTTTGATGATGCCAGTCACACATGGACGACGGAGCTTTGCATAGAAGACTCGGATGGTGATGGACAAACGAATGGTGAGGAACTTGGTGATCCATGTTGTGAGTGGACATCAGAGTCTGCAAAAGCTGCTCTTTGGTCTAGTGGCGTCTCAAATCCGGGAGATGCTGCAAGTACTTCTGACGAGACGTTATGGCCAACGTATAATTGCTCAACTTCTGCGACTAACT